TCCTGCCCTGGTTTTGCCTCCAGGTGATGTTTGTTGTTTTCCCCACAGGTAAAAGCATGTAAAACCCCTTTCTACCAGGACCCTTGAAGAGGTGTCTTATAAGAGGTGCCTCTTAGAGGTCAGGAGGTGTGCAAGATCCACCGGACTTGGAAGGTCCTGGTATATAGCATTTGGAAACTCGAACCATCAGCATTCAGTTACCTTTTGAGAACCTGGTTGTTTCAGTCACTTAAGCCTCCTAAGGGTCACTGGATGGAACCTTCAAAAGGTCACTTTGAAGAAGCTGGAACATGTTAATTTCTTTCCCAGTGCCGCAAATCCAAGCTCTTGGATGCGAATCTCAGGCAAAAGAGCGAGGCCAAACCCATGACGCGCCCGGAGAGGTGCGGGCACGCAGATGGGCGGACAGATGGGTGGGTGTGGCTGCCTGGAACATCCATTGAATCAATTGGTTTACAGGAAAATCTGCAGGAAACCCTTGTTTTCCTCCCTAAAACTATTGCATTCCTGCAGGTTTTCCCTCAAACCAAGTCTTGGATCCATCCGTTCCACACCGGTCCGCCCTGCGAGTCGTTCCGCATCGCTGCGGCGGCATTCAGCGTAAGCATTCCTGTTCACGAAGAAGTGCCATGCGAGGTTTTACTGTAGGTGTTCTGAATATATAGGCCTGAAGCTGGTGATTGCATTTGGAGGGGATGGTTCTGAAGACTTTCCATGCACCAAGCGAACGTCCCACCTTTCTTGCCAGAGCCGGGCAAGACTGCCCGGCTCTTTGGTGATCAAGATTTGGTAATGGCACTAATTCAAAGGATGGTGAAGCCTGACCTTTGTCAAGGCTGGTCAATACCAGTCAGGGAGTGAACATTAGACTTGGTCAACACCACATATGTAGGTATATAATTATATAGATCTAGCAATTTGTAGAAATGCAATGCCCAACAAAGCCTGCTTGACGAGTAGTCATGATCATTTTAATACCGTTGAGCACTCCTGCAGCTGGATTGTATCACATGAACATGTTTTTGATTTGACGAATTGTTGGGCTTGCCCAATCAAAACTGCAAAACAATAAGAACATCACGTTGGAATTTGAAGCAGTCTAACAGCCTTTGAACGAGGGCGGTTCTTGCAATCGTGGATTGGGGTTGCTTCAATTGAGGGCTGCTTCTTTAACATTCTTGCTTCTCACATTTCAGACAATTGGAAGCAAGGTTAACTCGGGAAGAGGAGTGAAGTCCCAAATTGTTTTCTTACATATATGATGGATTTAAATTCACATATTATAATTATTATATATGTTTTTCATGTATAAATCCACATGTAGCATATTGAATAATGAGATCGTATGTGTATATATATATATATTGTATATATTCGCCGACCCAGGCCCAACGCCGGCAGTCGCAGTGCGACGCGCGCGTCGCCGGAGCGCGTGGCGGAGCGCAAGCCGGAGAGCCTATTGGGGGGATGGCGGGGAGGGCAGTGGTTGGCCTTTCTTCAGCCCCTAAGAATCCTTGGGCTCTACATGGCGGGGGTCGGACCCTCCATAGCAGGAGTCCGGGGCCCTCAAAACCCTACATTTGTTTGAGGGCCCGGATTCTTTGGGACAAGGCGTTGGGACAAGGGTTGGGACAAGGGTGACATTTGCGCTGGGATGTGAGGGTGACATTGGCTCATGTGACAGCCAGCAAGGTGACTCAGATGTTCCCGAGGCTCCTATTCTCGAAGTGCAGAGTCTGTATCTTACCCACAGGCTCACCGGACCCTCACAACTAGGGGCACCCTCACAACTAGGGGGGAACCTCACAACTAGGGTTTTGGACCTCAATCATGTAGCGATTTGAGGGTCCATGAGCCTTTCCGTGATGGCAGTTCCCTCACAACGGAGAGTATCCCAAAGACAGACCCACTTCTCCAGGTGGAGTGCAACCAGGTAATGAAAAGTAGAACCAGAGCAAGTTCAAGTATAGACACTCAAAGGGGCCTGATGTGAGATTCTCACAGCATAACCCAACAGACCATCCATTGTCTCACAACTCATGGGGAGGGGTCAGTTTGATCCACTTTGACAGGACATCAACATACATGGGCGGTGTGAATTAAAATTAACTGGAAGGAAAAAAGACGAACACCCCATTGGTGGAGGATCTCCCTATAGTAGAATGCACACCCAAGGACTGATCTGGACTGCGTTGTTCCAAGCTGGTCCCGTTCCCATTGTTTTATGGGTGGGCACCGATCTACTGATGATGGGCACCGATGTACCGATGTGGGCACCGGTCGCGTGGAACTGGTAGTTCACTCATTGTTTGCCGACTCAAAAAGACATGGAAGTGGAGTTCGCCACCTACTGTAGCTATGAGTCATTGCACCTCTTCCACCTACAGTACAGTAACCATCAGGGTGCCTGGGTGGAAGTGACCCACAGCCACCTGCTTGTCTAGGAGAAGAGGGTTCCTTTCATGGTCATTTTCCCATCCGCTTAGACTTCTCAAAGTGTTCGTCAGAGCGAACCTTTTGGTTTGAACAGATCTATGGGTGAATGCACCGTCCATGGCTTTGATCCGTCCATGAGTACTTCGCAGATTTTTGGGGCCATCGATCATCGAACCCATCCGATTTGCTTGATGCATCCTTAGTGTGTTTTTCAGGGGCTTGTGAGGATTGAGTTAGGTGAGCATCAGTGTGAGCATCATATATACAACCATATTGATTTCGTTTGGACTTTCCATCCATCCCGGTCCTTCTCACAAATCTGGCAGGTGCGTTCCGCTTCGCAGTGCTTTCCGGATCGACCGTGTTGTACCTTCGCCGTGACCTCTGCAGGGAACCAATTTTGCTCAGGGGAGGGGGGGAGGGGCGTTGCTCGGCCGCGCCGGTTGAGGCCCTTTTGGGGGGTTGAGGCTTGGAGCACTCCTTTTTGTGCGAAGGCTTCTGGTTCTTGACACCGCCAAGCTCAAAGAAAAGACTGCCTGATTATATACCCTTCCTACAACAATTGTGGATGTGGAGTTTATGCACTGTTTGGTATTCGGATTTGTCTTTCCAGGGGTCGAAAAGAGAGGTAGTCCAGGGGTCGAAGACTTGGCATCCCGGAAAAAGCTGGCGAAAATGGCTCAAACCAGAACCAAAGAGCAGATTTGACGAGCGGTCTCAGCTTTGAAGGGCAGTAAACTCCATGAAAAGCTTTCATCGCACATCTGGAGAGGCATACTAATCACTATACTAGACTACTAGTATCAGTACGCTGTCCCAACATTTGGACGGCACCACGTATATGCACACATTAAAATCGGCAAGATAAATCACACTTGGCAAAAATGCGTTCTTGATTCTTGAGTGAAGATCAAAGTAAAAGGAACTCCACATCAAAAGAAACAAACATATCTTTCAGGGCCCGACCACAGGTAAATATGTGGACAGTCTCTCCTCAACTATGGAAGTGGAACCTCCATCAAGTTGGGTAATAGAGGACCAGTCTTCTTCGGAGAGTAGAGGATCAGTCCACGGTTTTCTTGAAAGGCAATCCCAGACACGACGTGTCGTCATGGGACTGCCAGGACGGACTGCCGCCCCAGAAAGACCCCCAGTCCACCCCGGTCGGCCGTTTTGAAGGCATGGCAGTCCCAGACAGGTCGTGTGGAATGGTTTTCGTTCCCGTGGGGCCAAGAAGCACCGGTGAAGCACGTTCGGTGGACGTGGTGCCCCCGGTTGCTGGGACCCAAAGGGTGTGTCTTAGCAAGAGACACCATGCGGATCGGCTCATGTTCAACCCACCAGCCGGGGTGGTGGAACAGATTGGCATAGGCGGCATAGGAATATGGACACCACGCATGGAGTATACTCAGGCCACTGGGCATTCCTGCTTGGTGCTGGAATATCTACAAGCGGCCCCAAAGAACGAATCGAAGGTATGTGGGGACCCTTGTGTGGACCCTATAGAACAGGGCTATTTGAATGAGTGTTCGTCTTTTTTGTTGCCCAGCCAAGCCAGGACCAAGTGACCCTAAGACCTCCAACTACCTCCAGAGAAGGTAGTTTCCTTATGTGTCCGTTATCCTGGCACCTCGAAACACATGTAAAACACTATCAAAAGACATGTCAAAACACCAAACACCTCAGGTGGGGTGCCTCCGAACCAACCCGGAAGCGCACCAATTAGCGGTCAGGGCGGTCGCCCAAGCGGTCGCCTATGGGGCGACGCAAAGAAGAGACCGAAGAGGAGGAAGAAAGTGACGCGGCGGCCCTTTTTTCTTGGTGTGTTGATGGTTTCCCGGGGTAGTTGTACACGGATGTTTCAATCTTATCAATAGTGTTTCACGTTATTTGTACTTCAGGATGACTCCTTTGAAGTCCTTTGAAGAGTCATGAGCTTCTGGAGGGGATTTGCCACTCCCTGGGGGCAGGGTCCTTGGTTTTACTCTTCCTGCAATATTTTGAGACGACTCGGTGTGTGGGATGTGGACTCTTTCTGTTACATGGGAGAATGGTGTTTAAGTATGTTTAAGTCATGTAGGGCCTTCAGCATGTTCACTGCCAAGCTCAAAGAAGGCATGATCATGCATGATCATTGGGCGCTTGGAACTGCCACCTCGGAAGCCTTTGTATTGTACACCATATTATGCACATAAGACCCAATAGCGATGACCTCCAACCTACTGTAATATAATTACTGCATGTGAAGATCCATCCGAATCTTGATGTGATCATATTGGCCCAAAGTGGGAGGGCATTTGAACCGAGCTGGCGCGCCATGTAAAAGTTGCGGTTGGTGCTGCAGCTTTCGTTCGTTTCGTGTTGAGTTGGACTTCGAGGGCCATCTCAGTCAGGAGTTGTTGGTTTGAGGCTGCTATATCAACTCTTGTTGTTGGCAGCGGAGCCTCACGAGGCTGCCGCGGGGCATTGTCGTTTTTGGTGCATTGTTTTTGCACTGAGGCTGGCATTGCACATACATTGTGTTGCGTGGTGTTGGCATAGCATTGTGTTGACATTGCGTTGCGATGGCTCCCAAACAGCAGTCGAATGGTCCAGGGCAAGCAACCAGTTCGCAAGCTGCAGGACAGACAAATGTCCATAGTGGGGTGAGCACGGCAAAGCTCGACAACTATGTTCCTGTTTTCAGCAACAACATGCAAGACTACAGAGAATTTCGCAAACGCTGTGAGATCTACAGAAAGAAGATGCAGTTGGGCAATCGCACCAACGAGGTGGTCTACAACCTGGTCACTCTGATGACTGGGAAGGCTTGGGATTTGGTCGAAGACATGACCATGGAACAAATGTCAGGTGAAGATGCATATGATCTTTTGTTTACACGGCTGGACAGAGGATTTCGATTCGATCCATTGACAGAGTTGCCAGACGACTTCGAGCAGTACTTTGTGAAGCTTCAGCGAAAACCACACCAGACACTGCAAGATTACATGAATGATTACACCAGGTGTGAGAGAAGGCTGAAGGTGACCCACAATGTTGAGCTGCCGGAGAAAGTGAGAGCTTGGTGGTTCCTTCGACGTTCAGGTATCACGAAGGAGCAACGGCAGCTGATCCTCACCAATACAGGGACCACTGGACTGACGATTGAAGAGGTGATGAAGTCGATGAGCTTCATTTTGGGGCAAGATTCGACGCTACAATCCTCGTCGTCGACTTCGAGATGGTCAAGGCCAATGGGAAAACCAGTTGACACGTTCTACTGTGATGAGGACACGCAGTATGATTGGCCAGCTGGATCGGAAGATTTCGCCATTGATCCCTCGCCAACATACTTTGGTGAAGACTATGAGTGGGATGATTGGCACGAAGGTTCATCAGAGCAATTCGATGAGGTTGCATTGGCAGAGCATTGTGAGCAGGTTTATGACGTTGATGAATATGATGATGTGCTTGCAAATTATCAAGATGCCAAAGCACAGATGAACGCCCTTCGTACATCTCGTGGTTTCTATCCCGTTGTGGCCATGCTGCCGAGTGCTTCAGGTTCACATCCCGGTGGTAAGAGCCGCAAGGGCAATTCATCGAAGTCGAAGTCAAAAGGCAAAGGAAAACCAAGTTCCAAAGGAGGCAAGTCTGGAAACCCAAAAGGTCGTGCCGCAGCGGCTATGGGATCTGGACGTCAACTGTGCTTGAGGTGTGGCAATGCTGGACATTGGGCCAGAAATTGTCCCATGCCACCAGGATCCGACAAGAAGCGAAAGATTGGAGACGAGCCCGAAGGTGGTGTGAACATGGTTGAGTCGGTTGAGCCTCCAGTTGATACAACATTGTCAACAGAAGCATTCAACATTGACATTGAAGAGGATGATTTTGTTGGAGACGACACAGCAGTTCAGGACGGAGGTGCAGCATCGGTGTTGGGATCAGCATGTCAGATTCGCAAATACCTTCGTTTTCTGTTGGAACAGGGCTACAACATCCACGACATCCCAATGTTTCATTGTGAGAAAGGCTTCAAATATGGCAATAGCATGAAGGAGACCACCAACAAGTGCATTGTGTTGCCCGTGTTCCTGAGCAACAGTCGCATTGATGTGTTGACGTATGTGATTCAAGGTACAGCTCCCATCTTGGTCGGACGACCGATGCTGGAGAAGTTAGGGCTCATCGTTGACTACCGGTCAAAACAGATGAAGTGGCCAGATACCGACTGGGAGGATCTCCTGACAGGTTCAAAAGGTGAGCACCTATTGCACCTTGGCAAGGACATTCGTCGATGCATTGCACAAGAACCCACCATGGTTTTGTTGCCAGAGGACGTTGAATCGCACGTTGGCGAACCTATCGAACAAGGAGTGCAGAAGTTGCTGGAGGAGGTCATGATTGCCGAGAACGCCAATCCGGCGTTGGAGCCCACGCAGACAGTCACGTCGGCTCACACACGTCGTGTGAACGACGGCATTGAGGAGATCGAGACGGTCAAGCGTCTTCACGGTCACATGCTGCGAAAGTTTGAGAGACAGGCGGAGGAAGCATGTCGTCGTGAGGACAAGATCATGCGGGTCAGTCAGACAATCAACAAGGAGACAAAATGTCGAGTGATTTGGGAGGTTTTTGTTGGTGAAGGTCGAACAACAAAGCATCTCTCCAAGTTTCCGCATGTCGTGACCGAGGTCTTCTCCCTTCAGACAGGATGGGATTTTCGCATCGGATCCCATCGATCCAAGTTCCTCCAGAGGCTTCGCAAAGAAGAACCAGATGAGTTGTTGTTGGCACCCATGTGCAAGTTGTGGTCGCCCATTCAGGAACTCAACATCGCGAGGTCGGAGAAGTACAAGCAAAAGCTGAGTGAAGAAAGGGAATACAACCATGATACCATCTTGACCATGTGTTCCGTTGCATACCAAGAGCAGTACAAAGCAGGTCGCAATGCAACATTGGAGCATCCTTGGTTGAGCAGAGCATGGTATACAAGGGCATTTGCTTGTTTGGAGGAGTTCAGTTATGATGCATACGTTGATCAGTGCATGTATGGTTTGAAAGTTCCAGATCACCAAGGAGAGCTTGAACTGGCAAAGAAACCAACATGCTTCAGGACAACAAAGCAGAGTCTAGCAGATGGACTCTCATGGGCTTGCGATGGATCGCACAGCCATGTTCCCATTGAGGGGAACGCTCCAGGAGGTCAGAAGCGCAGTGCATTGGCAGAGAGCTATCCAGAAGAGCTCGCAAAGCGGTTGGCATTTTTGATGCAGGAGGAGGACGAACCGGAATCCGTTCTTGCAGAGGAGGATGGAGATGTTGAGATGATTCCAGTTGAGCAACAACCACAGCAGCTGGAAGCACAAGCAGAAGTTCCAGATGTTGAGCAAGACATCCTCAAGTACTACCGCGAAGATGCTGAAAAGGAGGTGGATTCAGTGACAAGCAATGCACAGCTTCGTACACAAGTCGGCAAGGCAGCAATGAACTATGTGGTGAGACTTCACAAGAATCTCGGACACCCCGGGACAGATGTGTTGTGTCGAATGCTTGAGGAAGTGCAAGCTACAGACAATGTCATGACAGCAGCAAAACGATATGTGTGTCCAGAGTGCTACATCAGGCAAGGCCCTGCTGGAGTTCCCCCAGCAGCTGGACTCACTGCCCGTGTTTTTGGTGAACGTCTTCTTGCAGATACAGCTTGGATTGACACCGATGACGGCAGAGTTTGCGTCATGACATTGATGGATCAAGCAACTCGTTACATTGCCATCCGGATCATGAAAAGTGAACAGTCGATTGACTTGGTGAAAGGCATTGAACGCAGTTGGATTAAGCATTTTGCAGTTCCAAAGTATTTGAGGGTTGACGAAGGCAAGGGATTCGCGGCACAATACCTCAGGGATTGGTGTTCAGAACGGCACATTGTTCTTGAGATTGCCCCTGCAGAGAGTCACAACTGGATTGGTTCCATTGAGAGGAAGCATCAGGTTGTTCGTCGTTGTTTGGAGATTTACATGCAGGAGCGAGGCCGCAAAGACAAGAAAACACTGTCAGAAGCAGCAACATACTGTCCCGGTCAGATCAACTCGTTGAGCTACACCAGAGGATTCACACCAGCACAGTGGGTTCTCGGACGGTCGGCTGCAGATACATATAGTTTGACATCAGCAGTGTTCAATCCCAACTTGTCTCCCATGAACGATCCCCTCGACTTTGACCAGATTCAGGCAAAACGTCTAGCTGCACAGATGGCTTTCTTGAAGGCAGATTCTGATGCAAGGCTTCGTCGAGCAATGCAACAGAACTTCAAGAGGACAAAGCATCACATTGTGGTTGGACAGATGTGCTACTACTGGCGTATTCAGAGGTCAGGCATCTTGCAAAAGAACAAGTGGCGAGGACCAGCTCGCTGCGTTGCTGAGGAGAAAGACGATGAAGGAAAGCAGTTAGTGTTGTGGCTTTGTCATGGCACATCCCTCCTCAGGTGTTCACCTCACCAAGTCCGTCCATTGGTGAAGGATGCTGGACTTCACAAGCCCGTTGACACCCATGCGGCGCTTGAAGATTTGAAATCACTACGAGCCAGGAGCACCACCCAGTTCAAAGATGTGATGCAAAAGCCCGAACATGAGATCGAGGACCTCATGAATGATGATGAGAATGAAGAGTATGAACCCACAGAACCTCCATCAGGAGATGAAGGTGATCAAGCAGTCCCAGACTCAGAGATGCCTGGTGCAGTGTTGATGTATCAGCGTGGTCGCAATGATGGGACAACAGACAGACCAATGTCGACAGGTTCACCTTCCACAGATGTTCCTGAGTGCCCGCCTTCAGTTGTTGGTGATGAACATAAAAGGGAGGCGGAAGATGACATCTCAGAGTTGGCCTTGAAGCGTGCGAGAAATGCAATCAGCATTCCAGTCCCTGACAGTGATGAAGACCTTTTCATTGACGATGCCTACATCGTTGAGATGGAGAGTGGCACACTACCAAAGGGCTGGAGACTCATTGACGGTGAGTTTGAGCTGGATGAAATGTTTCTTGCAGAGGTGAGTGAGAAACGCATGACGCTGGCTGAAAAAGAAGAGATGATCAAAGCAAAGCAACAGGAACTTCGACAGTACTTTGACAACAAAGTGTGGGAATTTGCAGAGTTGGGACAGCATCAACGCAGCAGGTTGATTTCTGCTCGATGGGTGCTTGTGTGGAAGCCCCCAAAAGAAGGTGAGTTCCAACGCAGGGCAAAAGCACGCCTCGTTCTCAGAGGGTATGAAGATCCAGATTACCTCAACCTGGAGAAGGCTTCACCTACAGCAAACAAGACCTCAAAGATGATCCTCCTAGCATTGACCCCAGTGCTACATTGGACAATCTTTTGTGGTGATGTTCGAGCCGCATTCCTGAGTGGTGCAACATTTGATCGTGAGATCATTGTCAAGTTGCCGGCAGATTGTTCAGCAATGCTTGGAGCAAAGGGGCCCACGTTCATGAGGATGCGCAAGTCGGCCTACGGTTTGTGTGATGCTCCACTGTTGTGGTGGAGAGAGGCTGACCAGAGGTTGAGGCAGTTGGGGCTCAAGAGACACAGATTGTGCAAGTGCACCTACATGATGTACAACTCAGCAACAGCATTGGTTGGGTTGATCATTTTGCACGTTGATGATTTGTTGTTGAGCGTCAACATGAAAGACAAAGAAGCAGTGCAAATTCTACAGAAGGTCAAGTCCGCTTTCGATTTTGGCAAGTGGCAAGAGCTGAAAGAAAAGGAGGACATTATTTACTGTGGAGGACGCATTGCAAAGAAAGGCGAAACAGTGAGTCTTGATTTCGAAGGCTACATGAAGAAGGTCATGCCCGTCACCATACAAAAGGGTAGGAACCAACAAGATGACCTCACACCATCCGAGGTGTCAAAGGCACGAGCTCTCATCGGTGCCTTACAGTGGCCGGCAGGCCAAGGATGTCCCTACCTGAGTGCATCGACTTCGTTGACAGCATCAAGCATCAACAAAGCCAAAGTTGAGCTTCACAGAGTTGAACAAAGCATTACGTTTTGGCAAGCAAGCATCGGATTTCAAGCTCAACATGACAGCAGTGTGCAATGGTCTTGATGACCTATGTCTGTTGTGTTTTTCAGATGCAGCTTTCAATGTGAGAAGCGACGGCAGTTCACAAGGTGGATATGTTGTGGTGTTGACTTCGAAGCAAGCATTGAAAGGTGAGCATGTTCCTTACAGTTTGATTAGCTGGCGGTCATTCAAGCTCACACGTGTTTGCAGGTCAAGCTTGAGTGCAGAGAGTCAAGCTTGTGCAGCAGCAATGGATGAATTGATGATGGTCAAGTCGATGATAGCATTGATGGTCGAACCAGACCTTGATCCACGAGCAGAGTCCACAGCCGCAGACTGTGGAAGTTCAGCGATCATCATCGATGCCAAGGCCTTGTACGACAGCTTGAAGAAAGATGGCATTGGAAGTTCAGCTGACAAACGAGCTGGAATCGAAATCCTTTGCATCAAAGAGGAGATCCACCGTCTCAAGACGGAACTCCGTTGGGTCAGTAGCGAAAGGATGCTGGCAGACGGGTTGACAAAGTTGCACACCCGACAACAGATGGTTGAGATGCTTCGCAGTGGGTGGCTGAGCATTGTTCACGACAGCAGCTACACAGCAGCAAAGAAGAAGGACAAGGAAGCACGTCAAGAATCTACTGCTCGGACCTTTGGATACACAAACAATGTTGCAGCACGCATTTCCATGGTTGTTGCAGCAAGCAGTGCACCAGCGGTTGGAGCAATGAATGAAACTGAAGAGCTGAGTGATTTTGAAAACACTTGGAGTGACTTCTTTTTCAGCTACATGTTTGGCGTGACGGTAGTGTCGCTGTTAGTTGGCATTCCCATGGTTGGCTGTGGTGTGTACAAGTGCATGTGCAAGTTCATTGATTTTGTCCGTACATTGATTTGGCAGCAGAAGATCATTTACATGTTGCGGGCCGAAGCCCGAGAGCTGCGCAATGAAGTTGAGGAGTCTCGTGATGAGCTGCTCCGGATTCGAACACGCCTCGTAAGGATGCGTGTAGGAGGGTGCTACTACACAGAGAGTGGCACTAGATGGCATGTCTTTAATGATTGCCACAGCTTCCGGTCGAGTTCCAGAGTCCTCAACAAGGACGGCATGTGTCGAGTTTGTTGGACAAGGCTGCAAGAAGAAACAAGCGGTGAAGTTCCGACACCACCACATGGGTGGAATGAGGACACGGATGGACAAGATGATGAAGCATGAATTTGGAATGTCAATTTACACTTTCCTCCCCATGTGAAGATCCATCCGAATCTTGATGTGATCATATTGGCCCAAAGTGGGAGGGCATTTGAACCGAGCTGGCGCGCCATGTAAAAGTTGCGGTTGGTGCTGCAGCTTTCGTTCGTTTCGTGTTGAGTTGGACTTCGAGGGCCATCTCAGTCAGGAGTTGTTGGTTTGAGGCTGCTATATCAACTCTTGTTGCTGCATATATAATATGCAGAAGTGTTGGTTTCTTCAAGTCGGAAACCATGGACGCAAAAAGATGCATTGCTCTCGCGAGTTCGGAAACCAAAGGACACCAACATGAGGGACGAAGTGACACAGCAGAAAAACACAGAGACCGAAGCAAAACACCTTCAATTTCTTTGTTAAATGTGTGTTTGTTTTGGGCATCGCCTACAACTGGCCCCGACCGGTAGAATGTTAGAAACTTGGGGAGGCAGGTTCCAAAATAGGGTCATGTAGACTCTTGATTGACAAACTCCCCCCCCCCCTTTGAAGTGGAAATCCTCTTCATATGGGGGGTTATGAATCAAGAATCTACATGATGAAGTCTTCGACCCCATTGTTTTTCCAAAACGACACGGCGGACCGGCTCGTTCCTTTTTTTCCTCTTCCGCCCCCCTCCCCCCAAAAAAACCTCCCAAAGGAGATTGTTACATGTGTGGTGCCTCATGAAGGGTTTTTTAAACACATAGAGAGCGTGAGGGCTCCGCAAATAGGTTGCGTCGCCAGAAGGGCACGTGAGTACGTCCTGCTCCTATAGGTGAGTACGTCTACGAGTATGAGGAAGAGACGGTGTCGGACAGTGCGGAGAGCGACCGCGCCAAGAAGGAGCCACCGCGACCGCGCCGAGATAGTGCACGTTGCGAGACGTGGGAACCTCGTGGGACGGGTTGGTATGTTGAAGTTTGTTTCTATCAGGGGTGATGGTTTTTTGTTTAAATAAGGGGTCTTCCAAGATTGTGTTCATTTTGGACCTCTCAGAGATAAGCTTGAAACAAGGGGAAACTGATCTTGCTGAAAAAACTGGAGAGCTTTTAGTGTGGCCACCATTTGTTGACCTTTGCCAAATGCTACAGCCTCAATCGAAGTTTCACGATGCTGACTTTGAACTACCTGCCACCTCGAGTCTGAAAAAAGACCAGAGCTAAAGGACCTGCATCTGTTTGATCCAGGTTCCGGTTGTATGAGGTTCTTTTAAACTTCTTTTAATACATGCATCCTTACTCAATCCAAGGCCCCCCTGGGGTAGATGGCCTCCATCTAAGGTAGGAGTTATTGTTTTAATATGTTTGATTCCAACATATTCCGATTTTCTTTCGCCTGCGCGATCATGGTGTTACAACCTTAAGGGGGTGAAATGTGCCGACGTGAGATGAGCCACAGACGGATGAGCGACATGACATCTGCATACCCACGAAACGTGGATAACCTTGGGGAGTCACTCTACAATGATCTACAATGATCTACAGTTATCCGATAACCTGAACAATATTTTTGGGAGTGGTTTCCACGGAAGCTGAAGGAATCAGCATTTGACCAAACCAAAACACCATAGTTTCACTTCATTTGACTTGCTGATCGACGCGCAAAAGCCCTGAAGCCCCATTTCTGGGCTGGTGCCCCTTTGCAGAGTCGAAGAAGAGCCCTTTGTGTCGTGTTTGAAGGCCGTCCCGGGGCAAAAAGGGCACCGCTCTTCGGAGCGGGCTTTGGCGGTAGGAGTTTGGACAAAGCAGGACATGGCAGATGCATCCTCGATCATTTGGGTTCAATATTGCGAGCCGTTGCTTGAAATGATTTTTACAGATTTGTGTGGACAAATAAGAAAATCTCGATGTACAAAAACGCGAGTCTTGGTTGCTGCTTGAGACCGTGGATGCAGATGCTGAGATTTGGAGTTTCTTGGTTGGTGCTCTTTTACGCATTGTTTGCGGAAGGCCCTTGACAAAGCAAAACATGGCAGATGCATCTTCGAGCGTTGTGCAACTCAAGTGTGTATTGTTAGGGGCTTGTGCAGGAGTGTTGTGGACTCTCACATCGCTTGTTGGGGTTTGTTGAGTCAAACACGTTGTTCTAGGCCTTTGCGATGGCGGGTTTTCGCCCCTTCACTTCTCAGGTGGGAGCTTGGTTTCGAAACTTCAGGCTGTCAAGGGCTGCAAAAGCCCCCCACCTGGATACGCAAAAAGGATTGAAATTATTTCCATCACGTGTTCCACAAACGTTCTCATGGCGTGTATGATTGGGGGCAACATGTTCCTGTCCTACCACTGCAGGCCCGGAAAAATTTTGCAAAGTGCAAAGTTTTTATGGTTGAAAAGACCTTGCAGGCCTGAATCCCCCAAAACATTATGGATTGTTTTTTCCGTGTGGGGGGCATTTCTTACTTTCAAGTGTTGAAATGAGTGAGAACTGAAACTAATTGTTATATATAAGTCTCTCAGCATTTGTTTCGCGCCCTCTTGTTTTTTTTTTGCTGCGCGGTCCATCCCCAGTTCGTTGGGAAACAACCAACAGGTTGAAAAAGGAGGCAGTACCCCAAACGTTGGCCCCAAACCAGGTTGAACATTTACTGTACCATATATATATATATAAGATGTCATTTTCGGCATGCTGCGTAAATTGTTTAACTACAGTATGTGCATTCGCCCTTGATCCAGGACCGTAAAAACAAAAAAGACGACAAGAAGAGGCTTGCTGCATTAGTGTAGGGAACGCGCATGTTTGTTTGTTTGTTTGTTTGTTTGTTTGTTTGTTTGTTTGTTTGTTTGTTTTTTAAACATATGGTGCAGAACCAATAAAGGAACATGTGTTCGCTGGTGTGGTTTCAATATACCAAGACCGGGGGCTCACCTTCGATCCGTTATCATGTCACATATTGATTGCGGGATTCTACGACCAAGCAACTTTAACCCGCCCAGCCCTGGTTTGGCTGAACCGAAGGCTTTGGCCAAGCCATGCGCATGGACTCAGGGGCAATTCCATCAAGAAATTCCGACATTCGACAATGAGGAACTGTGGAAAATTAATGTTCAATCCATTGTAGCTTGCCAGAAGTTCAAAGTCTGAGCATGGATTCAATCCAAAAAAGGGTGCCTTTTCGGATGTTGTTTCAGCTGGAGTTTCTTTCAATGGATGCTAGGCTTCGGTGCGAAGTTGAAAAATTGTGGTCTTGTTTGACTTGTAGGCATTCAGGTAGCCACGAGCGTGTGTAGATGTGTGTAGTTTGCAAAGATCCCAATGGGAGCCGTGAGGGTCTTCTATTCCGACATGTGCTGAGTCTGATGTTGGGTCCTTGCTCATGTTGCTCATCTCAGGAAAGATAAGAAAGATAAAAAGGACAAAGAAACAAAGGAGAGACGGAAGGATAGAGCTGACGAGAGGCCAGGGAGGTCTCCCTAAGTCTGATGGACGGAGTAGTGACCTGCAAGGTGCTGGAAGTCCACCGGGTCGGAAAATGGCCACAGACCAGCTCGGGAGACCTGCATAGATCAATTGGACCGGCCGGGGGCAGCTTCCAGGAGGTTTCCATGTCTCCACTTGAAGACCAGAATTTGCACCTCTCGATCACACTGGCGGAAACACACTTCCACGATCCGTGCCGAAGAATCCTCGGAAGTTCGAGATCAAAAGGTGTGAAAACTGCACCTAGCCAACTTGAGGTTGAGATGCAAGCCTTGCAAGCTAGGCAGTGAGCCAAAACCAAGTGATACTGCAGTTTCTCAAGCCCGATTCAAGCACCAGGCAGCTACAGAACTTATGGGGATTAATGTGACCAACCGGTTGACCTCCCTGTTTTCGGTCAGCCGTTCGCCGCCGAGTGCTTCTTCTCGTTCGCTGTTGCGGTTCAAAGCCGCCGAGACTCCTCACCTTGGGAGGAAACTGCTGGGAGGTCGCTTGACCCTCCGATCCGCACCCTGCGGCTCGGACAAGTCCGTACCCACAGGGTTGACATGGATGAGCGGACCCGGCCGGGGGATTCGATTCATAGGGGATATGAAAAACAGGTGAGGGTTGTTAGATTCTATCTCAGTTGTCAAATCTTCCCTTCCCTTCCTCCCTTCCCTTCCTCCCTTCCTTCCCTCCTTCCTTCCTTGTACACCCTGTGATTTCAAGCAGCGGAAATCCTGTTGGGGGCTGAAGCTCTAAGAAGCTGTTGATAGATGGCCAATGGTGAGTTACTGGGAACGCTTGCTATACGTGCAATGTATTACGCCTTCGTAGTAGAACTAATCTGCACTCAGCAACTACTAACCTTAGCTTTCAGGGTTGTGGCAACACTCACGAGTTTCCAAGGAGCAAGAACGCCATGCTGCAAGTCCTGTACTGGTTTTAAGCAAATCAGCACAGTTTGCTTAAAGCACGCGTTTGGAGCTTGCAGGGCTTCCAATTGGCAACTATTGTCTATTGTGACTTGATGAAGCAAGGCAGGTGTCAGGTGGGTATTGTTGTTTTTCCCTACATGCGCTTGCTATCCTTGGCCCCGGTGTTTGCCATGATCTCATTCTGCTTCGCTTGCTGCCGAAGATGGAGGTACCCACTCCATGTAGCTACATTGACCCCTTGCTGTCGGGCAAAGCAGGTAATCATACTATATTATACTGTATATGGGTGAGTGGTAAGTAAGAGCGTGTGTAGTTTCCTTTTTGCAATGCATCCCCCCCACGTATACTTAGATCTGCCATGCATGGGGGATTTGGGGCTTCATAGGTTAACGTGGCACACCAGCGAGCAGACTTCGATGTGCCATGCATGGGGCGCTTAAGCTACACGTGCCATATACGCGTCTTTCTGGAGATGTGCCCCGCGCCAGGTCTCGTTCCCGCGACCGAGACCGTGGGTCCAAGGGACGTGACCGCAGCCGAGGAAGCCGCGGGCGAAGCCGCCGCAGGCTGTGAGTTCCCTGCCGTGGTGAAGCTGTTGGGAAGTGATTATCCTATATATGAAGCTGCTTCGCTCTTCCCCCACTAGGACCACTT